ACGTATAACAACTTCCCCACGAGAAAGATAAGCATTATGCACTGCAAACTTGTACCAATAAAAAAAGATCTGGAAAAAAATCACCTGAAGGCTACTTACAATGCCTAATACAGGTTAAATGGTATGTAGTTATTACATTGCATTGTTTAGGGAATAATGACAAAAAGTACACATGTGCATGTGCAGTACAGATGCCATTTTTGAAAAATATTTTTGATTAGCAGTTTGTTCAATTTGCAGTTATAGAACTCTCAGATATAGAGGGCTGGTGTATATATAAATCTGAGATTGCCTATACTCCAGATGGCTGTTATTATGAATTTACCTATATTCTACATGTATAAAATTTATTCCCATGGAATTATTTCTATAGTTTCTAAGCTTATAGTACTTTTAAAGCATATTACATTCTTTATGATGTTTAAAGCCTGAGCACTTTAGCGTTTTTTCTTGCATATAAAATATGGAATTTAGTAGTGATATAATCTTAACAGTAATTACTCTCTATCATTTAAGTGGTAAAAACTGTTATCCCTACCACACTTGTAGATTGAATCATCTGAGCAGGGCTGGAAGAAGCATTTTGAATGTAGTTCTTAAAATATTCAAGGAAAATGTCTGTATATGAAAATCAGTGTAGTCGTGGGCATTGACACTAGGTTGAGAGAAAGGGTAAAGAGAAAACACATGAAGGTCATTGTTGTCGTTCAAATATGAAGTGTCCCCCAAAGACACTTTGGGGTGTGGAAGGCTCGATTACCAATGCAGCAGTGTTTGGAGGTGGGGCCTGAAGAGGTAGTTGCATCCTGAGGTGCTAAGGTTCAGGGACATATAGCTGAATGGACTTTTAGAAGGAAGGGACCAGCTGAGGAAATAGGTCATGAGGCACAGGCCTTTGAAGAATATATCTTGTCTCTGGCACCTTCCTCTGTGCTTCTTTCCCATCCCTCTACTTCCTGGTTGCCATGAAGTGAGCAACTTTCCTCCGCTATGTCCTGCTGCCATAATGTTTTTGCCTTACCACAGGCCTAAACCCATGAGCCACAAGAAAATGTTCTTCTTTTAGGTCATTTGGGTCAAGTATTTTGTCACAGTGACAAAAAGCTGGCTAACATAGTGACTATAAAAGATAACAGCAAGACTGTATGTAAGCCATCATTCAACTGGAGAGAATTATCCACCCCTGAAAAATATACCACAAAATGCTTAAGAGTGGAAGAAACTCTTTAGCAGATAGTAGGGCCCTCAAAATAAATGAATAAGAAATCATTTACAGGCAGAATAGAGAGCCCAGAAATAAATCCATATATTTACAGCCCACTAATTTTTCAACAAAGGTGCCAACAACACAGAATAGGCTAAGGACAATCTCTCCAATAAATGGATGTCAACATGCAGAAGAATTAAACTGGACCTTTATCTCACCCCATATATAAAACTCAACTCAAAATAGATTAAAGATTTAAGCATAAGACCTGAGCCCATAAAATTACTAGGAGAAAACCTAGGAGGAAAGCTCTTGACATTGGTCTAGGCGAAGATTTTTTGCATGACCTGAAAAGTAAAGAAAAATAAATGAATATAGAGTACTTCACAGAACCAAAAACTTATGTGCAACAAAGGAAACAATCAACAGAGTACAGAAGTGACCTAGAAAATAGGAGAAAATATTTGTGAACCATACATTTAATAATAATACCCAAACTATATGAGAGTCTCAACTCACTAATAAGAAAACACAAATACCCCAATTTAAAAATTGGCAGAAGAATTGAAACATTTTACAAGAGAACACATATAATCAGGTATATATAAATGAAAGAAAATGTTTAACATCGCTAATCATCATGAAATGCAAAGCAAAACCACAACAAGGTATCTTAACACCTATTATCAAGAAGATAACAGGTGTTGGCAAGGGTGTAAAGAGAATCACACACTATTGGCAGTGGTATAAATTAGTATAGCTGCTATGGAAAACAGTGTGCAGGTTCTTAAAAAAATTTTTTAATAGAGCTATCATATGACCCAGGAATTCCACTCCTGGGTACATACCTAATGGAAATGAATTCAGTATACAAAGAGATATGTATCTGCATTCCTACATTCCTGGCAGCATCATTCACAGCACCCAGGATGTGGCCAGTGTACAGGTAAGGAAAATGTGGTGTATATATACATAATGCAATACTATTCAGCCCTGAGAAAGGAAACAATCCTGTATTTTGCAAGAATATGGATGAACATTAGGCTGAGTGAAATAAGCCAGGCACAGAAGGACCAATAATACTTGCATGACATCATTTATGCCCTGTGTGCGGAATCTAAAAAGGACGAACTCACAGAAGCAGAGGGGTTGATTGAAGATGGATTGGCTAGATGTTGGTCAAATGATATAAAATTTCAGTCAGAGGCCTGGGAAATCCCAGGCTTAGTAGTGCCACCACCTGCCTCACAAGTACAAGGTCCCAAGTTCAATCTGCGGTACAAAAAAAAAAAAAATTCAGTTGGGAGGAATCAATTGACTTATTGTATAACTTATTGACTGGAGTTAATAATAATGTACTATTCCTGAAGATTGTTGTGTAGACTATTTTAAATGTCCTCACCACAGCAGTGATGATAAATATGTGAGGTGATACATGTGTTACTTAGACTGAGCGACTTCACAGTATATACGTATATCCAAATACCACATTGTACATCACAATATAGGACCCAGCTCTCTCCTGGGGGACTCACTCCAGCAACACTGGCCCCAACAACCACTGGGAAGCCAGGCCATTGCAAGCGAACCCTATCCTTTCTCTATGTCAAAGCAGCAGGTCAGCTACACACACACACACACACACACACACACACACGATCTCTCTCCACTCTGCAACTACTCATCAGAAGTCAGCCCACTTGAGGCATAGTGTTCAATGTTCAACAGCCTCTGGAAGCCGTTCATCGTTCTCCAGAGGATTCCATGGAAATCAACTCCCACCGCTGCCCACGGCACCTGGGGTTAGAAGGGAATCCCTTCATCCTTCGTGCCAGAGGTAGAGTGAGATCTTCAAGCTCTGTGGCCACCCTGTCCAGAGAAGTTTCTTCAACAATCTCCTCACACAGTGTCCCTCCACACCCTAACTCTCGCTCTCTAAGTGGGCAAGGTAGTTCAAGAATCATTGACAGATAGCTCCCATGTTCCCACGGTCACTTCTGCCCTTGGCGACTTGGGGCCGTCCTATCTGTCACTCTCGCTGGTCCGTATTCTGATTTCCACTGCTGTTACTCAGTTGAGAGTCTGATATCTTGTTCCACCTGCACTGTCTGGCTTAATCCTGCAGTGGTGCTGAGGTGGGTGCCATGGTCCTGATTTCACATTTTACGCTGCAGAATGCAGAAATTGCATTGGTTATAAAGCTAGACAAAGATTCGGCTCTTTCTAACTCCAATCTGTGTTCTGTGGCCTGACTCAAATAGAGGGAGTCCAAAGTAACCCATGACTAAATTGTTAGAACAGGTCTTCTAACTCAAATTTGGCAGAGTTTCAAGACATGCTTTCAATATACAAAAAATCAATTTTATATCTATATAAAAAGTAGAATATAAAAATTTCAGAAATACCATATAAAGCAGCACAAACATTAAAAACCAAGAAACATATCTAGCAAAGAATAATGATAGTTATACTGAAACTTCAAAAATCGCTAAGAAGCCAGGCATTGTGGCACATGCTTGAATTCTCAGCACTGGGAGGCTGAGGCAGGAGGCCATGAGTTCAAGGCCAGCCTGGACTACACAACAAGATCCTGTCTCAAACGAAATTGCTGAGAGGAATGGAAAATGGTATTTTTAAAAAAGAGTGATATTACTGATTATGATGTCAATCCTGATGCATCAACTTGATTTTATAAACTCAACTCGATTCCATGCACAATTCTAGCAAGTTATTTATGAAAATTGATGAGGTAATTCTAAACTTATACGGAAATGTCAAAGGCCTAAAATAGCTAAGGTAATCTTCAACTAAGTTGGAAGATGTTTCATTCCCAGGTGTTAATAGTTATAAACTTAGTGTGATTAAGGGTGTGTGGTAATTAATTATGTAAAAACAATAGAATAGATACAAAGGATGCAACTGAGGTCCCCACAACATGAATTATGTTTCTATGGTTACCTCCTTTCTGACAAATAATGCTCTCGCTCAGCAGGGAAGAGGATTTTCTTTGATTGGTTTTCTTCAATAAATGATGCTAGATCAACCAGATATATACTTGGGAGGACAAAAAAGGAATCTAGGACACATGGGACACAAACATTCACTCGTGAGAACTGGAGAAGCAAATAGCATTCAAATTTGTTACCATTATCACTCCTGCATTATGCACTCACGATGTTCTAGTTGCTGCTTTCTGTAGAAAATCCATTCACAGATTTTTACTCTTTATTTTCCTTCATAAGGGTTTCAGTGTGTTCACAAGAAGCAAGCCTCTTAATTATGGAGATGCATATTTCCACTTGGTCAGCTTTCTATCGTACTGGTACAGCACAGAAATTATTTTATACCGGCTGATGTGTGTGAGAGACGCACCTACACAGGGAAAGGCTACTTGGAAAAGCTTTTCCACCACGGTTCTGCAGCGTGGTCCAAGACTTCCCTGGTGTCACCAAAGCACTCCTTCAACAAGCACAGCCCTAGGCTGCACGTGTGAGTGGCGCTGCTGGGGTTGTCACCAAACTTCTCGCCAGGGACTGCTGGGCTGCTTCAGGGAGGACAAAGGTGAGGGGAAGCTGGGACCGGCCGGGGCCCTCTATAGTCCGTGTCCCCGGAGGGTACCTGTCCAGCACCTCCGACTGTCGGTTACCCAAGCGCGCCAAGCACTCGTGAGAGAAGAGATGTCTGTCCCCACGCTCACCGTGGCTGATAACGGATTAAACATCCTTGGGAATATAGCGAGAAAGCCAAACGCAGAAGGAAAATGAAAAAGAGAAGCGAGACGGGGCATGAGAAGATGGCACAGGCAGAAGGTAACTTCCTGAAGAGTGAGGGGCCTTCCCCACGAAACGCAAATCGGAGCCGCGAGCAAAAGATCCTGCCCTGCAGTGCGCTTTGTTTCTGCAGAGAACTCCAGAGAAGACTGTTGGAAAACTGCAAACAGTAAGCAGCCCCGGGGTCCAGATGTGCATTTGGGCTCCTCTCGTCTCCCAGGATCCCGGCTAGGATTTCAGCAGCCTTGGCTGGTGGCCACTGCTTGCCTCACGGCAGACAAGCCTGGATCCGTTCTTGGCAGGACAAACATTTCGTTAACTTAGAATTTATTTAGAGACATTAATTGAGCCAGGATAATTAAACTTTTTCAAATTAACAGAGCATAGGGTGGGCAGCTTAGCGTCTCTGTGGTTTCCCCATATGCAGTTCTCTTTCCTGGAGTTGAAAAATCTGGCCTGTTAAATTTCTACCCTCCGGGTTAGCCTACTGGTGAACTTAGCTGAATTTAAGTAAAAAGCATGCATAAACCAGCACATACATCCTCCCATGTGGTAGCTTTAAACTACAAACCCTATCTTGCATTATATATATTCTTGCATCTCCTATAGGACATTAAAAATATATGTCGTATTTTGTGGCCACTTACTTGGCCACAAATACTCTTTTTTCCAACAAAAAGTATATTATTTGGGATCCAAGTTATTAAAAACAATACTTTGTTGGCCGGGGATTTAACTCAGTGGCACTATACCTGCCTCACAAGTACTGTTGTCCCAGTACCAAAAAGAAAAAAAAAAAAAAGTTTGCTTTCATTATGATTCTTTGACTCATTACACACTAGTTAGTTATGTATACTCAAAAGCTATACCAACAATTATATTTTAGAACCTTATAGGAAAACACAGTTTATTCAAATGGTGTTTATAATGTGTTTAAAATGGTGTTTATATTATTTTGTGTTTGAGCTCTGGGGCAATGATAAAAGTTAAAGCCTTGATCCATTTCCATTTTAGTTCATTGTGTAGTGAAAGACATGGTCCTAGTTTTAATCTTCAGCATATGGAAAGCCAGTTTTTCCAGCACCTTTATCATTATTAAAGAGGCTGTCTTTCCTCCAGTGCAAGTATATAGCTCCTTTGTCAAAGATGAGGTGGCTGAGTGTGTCTGGAGTTGTTTCTACATCCTCTAATCTGTTCCATTGATCCTCAGGTCTGTTCTTTTGCCAGTACCGTGCTGGTTTTGGACACAGTAGCTTTGTAGTATAATTTAAAATCAGGGATTGTGATACCCTCTGCCTTGCCTTTGTTGCCCAGAATTTTCTTGGCTACTCTAGGTCTCTTCTGATTCCAAATGAATTTTAGGATTGTTTTTTTCTAATTCTGTGAGATATGCTGCTAGAATTTTAACTGGTATTACATTAAATCTGATAACAAATTTGGAAGTATGGCCATTTTCACTATGTTGGTTTTTCCTATCCAAGAACAAGGCATGTCTTTCCTTTTTTTTTTTTTTTTTTGGTACCGGGGATTGAACTCGGGTCCTTGCTCTTGCGAGGCAGCCCACCGAACTGATGAGCTAAATCTCTGGCCCTTTCCATTTTCTGATATCCTCTTTGATCTGCTTTTTTTCAGAGTATTGTAGTTTTCAATGTAGAGGTCTTTTACTTTCTTCATTCGATTGAGTCCTAGGGTTTTTTTTTGGTTTGTTTGTTTTTTGGGTTTTTTTTTTTTTTTTTTTTGATGCTGTTGTGAAAAGGATTGTTTCTCTAATTTCTCTCTCAGTGAGTTTGGTATTTGTGTACAGGAAGGCTATCGAAAGGAGATTTGGAGCTCCGGTTCCTGATTCCTTCCCCTTTCGATTCCAAGGCCCCTCCACAGTTGTCCCTGTATTGCTGAGGCTTGGAGGAGCCCCAAGTCCTCTGAAGTCTTGAGTCCTGGGGCAGAAGTTACAGGCTCAGATCATCCTCATGTGCAAAGTTAGAACTGAAAAGCGGAGGAGGAGACTTTTTTGTGGTGGGTCAGAGATAAAGACAATAGACCAAGGCGCCAGCTGGCCTCTGAAATACCTGTCTGCTAATACTGGCTGATGAATGGCTGTTCTCCACCTGCTAAGGGATTCTGGACCCGAAGATATGAAAGGTCCACAAAAAATAAGCACTTGCTCTAATCAAAGCAGTTTTCTCCTAAGGAAACTTTTATTTTTCCTTTTGCAGTACAGGGGATTAAATCCATTCACACTGAGCATTTTTTTTTTTTTTCCACAAGGTTCCCCTAAGTCTGTGGCGGTCCAGCCGTCACAACACGAACATGCCTGAGTCGGGGAGTGAGGATTGAGAAAGGAAAGAACACTCAAGCCTGAGTGGAGACGAAGAGAAGTCTGATTTATTTCACAGAAAGAGCTCCTTTTATAGGTTCACAGCAACAGGAAGCTTTTAAGGGCACACAACAACCAAAAACACCAAGTCATTGTTTTTCAAAGACCGGATTTCCTGACTCTTACTGATAACATCAGATCTTTGGCTAACGAGCTTCCTGTTATGTCAGGGTCAAAGAGTCAAAACCAGCTTAACAGACAGTTTCCTTGAAGAGTAGCAAATGTTGATGCCTTAATTATACAAGAAGAAGTTATTTTCCAAATGTCAAACTCCAGTGGGCCATGACTGGGCCCCGACATAAGTCACTGACTTTCCCATGCTGGGCTTGAATTTGCAGTCCTCCTGTCTCAGCCTCTCAGAATACAGGGGTCATAGGCTCTAAGGAAATTTAATTGAAGGAATAAAAGAGAACTATAATAATAATGTGGTAGATGTTGAAGGAAATGCGATTAAAGCACAAAAGAGGTTTTCTGAAAGGAGAGAACTTGATTGTGCATTCAAAAATCCAATGCATGAGCTGGGTGTGGTGTTGCACGTCTGTAACCCCAGCACTCAGGAGGCTGAGGCAGGAGAATCGCTGCAAGTCTGAGGCCAGCCTGTGCTACATAGTGAGTTCGGGGCCAGCCTGATCTACAGAGCGAGACCCTAAGTCAAAAAAAAAAAACAAACAAAAAAAACTCAGTACATGATTTGCAAGACAAAATAATCACTGCTGTACTCTTATTGGAGTTTTGTATTGAATGGAGATAATATCCCACTACACAGAGCACATTTATGAGCTATAAAGAAAATAATTACACATTTTAGAAGTCCCAGATGGAAAAGAGTGAAGAAAGACTTAAGTCTTTGGATTGACAGAGAGCACCAAGTTATAGGTTAGAACCATTTTTTCAAAAGGACACATTCTGTTGAAATTCTTATATCCAGAAATAAGATACTAAATCTTATTATTTGGTACAATTTCAAGGATCCGTTGGATATTCTGAGACCCTTTTGGTCTGCAGTGCCTAAAACTAGAAAACACCAAAGCTACTCTGAGAAGACAGAGGTCCAAGAAGCCACCACATAGCCCCGTGAGGAGGGAGAGGGTATTGTCCGCAAGAGCTCGGGAAAGACCCTGCATGCTGTCTTCTGTGGAAGCTGCCCAAGGAGAAACAGCCAGCAAACACATCGAAGCTGGGGCTGGGGGTGTAGCTCCGTGTCAAGCATTGCCTGACAGGCATGAGGCCTTGGATCCCATCCCAGCATCTGGTCCCCAGTATATAAAGTATAGGGCCTGGGATTTAACTCAGTGGTGCCGCCGCCTGCCTCGTAAGAGCAAGGACCCGAGTTCGATCCGTGGTACCCCCCCAAAAATATATATATATACACACACACAAAGTATAAAGAAGGAGGCTAGGCCTGACTCTTTCGATAACCTGGGCGCATGAGGAGGACGTGCCTGAGAATCACGGTCACCGTTAAGGCAGGTGTCCCCTCCCCCTCCCCCTGGTCCTGGGGATGAACTCAGGACCTTACCCTTGTGAGGCAGGCGTGGCACCACTGAGCTAAATCCCCAACCCTCAGTTTTATTCAGTTTTGCGCATTGTTACCCCATCCACTCTCACCATCTGGCCTGACTATTCTTTTTTTTTTTTTTTTGTACCAGGAATCAAACTTGGGACCTTGCTCTTGCGAAGCAGGTGGCAGAACCACTGAGCTAAATCCCTGGCCTCGACTATCCTTTTTTTATTGGAAAAGGAATTTTTTTTCGTTCTGAGGATCATGGAACCCAGACCTTCCCACTGAGCTACATCTCCAACCCTTTTCTTGAGACAAGATCTCCACAAGCTACTAAATTGCCCTTGCTAGGCTCAGATTTGCAGTCCTCCTGCCTCAGCCTCCTGAGCTGCTAGGATTACAGGCGGGGGCCACTGTGGCCAGCTGGTTTTTCTGTCTTAAAACACTTTCTTCTCTTGCATCTCATGGCCCATCACTCTAGGAAGGGCTCCCCTCTGACTGCTTTGCCTACTCCTCTTCCTTTTCTTTTAGTGCGGACCACAGTTGGAGTGTTGCTGACGTGATCATATTAACAGGTGGAGCCTTTAGGTGACTGAAAGCCAGATGTGGTGGCGCACGCCTGTAACCCCAGCACTGGGGAGGCTGAGGCAGGAGGATCGCTGAGAGTTTGAGGCCAGCCTGGGCTACATGGTGAAACTCTGCCTCAAAAAACAAATGAAACAAACAAGACAAAAAAACACAGGAAGATTGATGGGAATAATAATTGTATGGTTAGATTCACAGAACCACCCAGTCTGACCTGACAAAACTCTTTCACATGTGTCTTCCTACCCTAAGCCCCTGGTGACCACTTTGGTTTTCTTCCTTTCTTAAAGGTGTCATATAAATGAAATTATACATTACAGAGCTGTCTTTGTTCCTTGAGGTGGATTATATTTATTTTTTAATAAGATCAAAACTACATTACAGAAAATTTACCATTGTGATTTTTTTAACTGAACAGTGCAATAGTATTAATAATCTAAACATTTATCAACAGATCTGTAGAGCTCCTTCAGCAAAACTGAAACTCTGCAATCATTAAACAACCTGCACAGCTCCTTGAATTTTTGTTTTTAAGAGTTTATTGGCTTTAGATTCCATACAGTATTTGCCTTGAGACTGGTTTATTTCACTTAACACAACATTCTCAAGGTTCATCCATGTCGTAAAGTATGACCGGATCCCCCCCGCCTTTTTTTTTTTGGTTTTGGTTTTCGAACTTGGGACCTTGTGCTTGCAAGGCAGGCAGCGG